ATTTTTCCCCTCCAGATGTTCCTATGTTATTATCTAATAAAAGAAAGTCACTTTTAATGTTGTTATAATGTTTTATTTAAAATAAAAATAACTACCCTGTCCCCTCTGGTCCCCAATCCACCTCCTGTGTATGTGTGAGATAATGCACCAAGCACTCTGTGGGCTCGAAACGGAATCAGCCAAGCCAACCCACCCTGAGCGGGGACACAGCTACTGTCCCCGGGGCCACTCTGATTGCAAGCGCCCTGCATGCAGGAGGAAGCCTGGAGGTACTCCGGGCTGGGGAAGGGGGCACAGGGTGTGCACTGCTCCAGGCTTAGCTGCTGATGAGGGGGCTCCACAGGATCTCTGAACAAAGGGATCGGGGAAGAGTGCTCCTCCTTAGGCCTGACAGCCTCAACCCCCGCTTCTGAACTACAGATAATCTGGACCCACTGCCCTCGCCTGACACGACTCTGAGTTGCCCCGTATCTAAAGAATCCATTGCTCTTTCCTATTCCTGAGTCCTGAAGACATCTTCCCTTCCCTTGCAGAGAGTGTGAGGTGGGCAAGGGGTAGCCTGAAGTGTTGGCAAGAACTGTTCGCCCTTTTGACATGTAGGGCTGAGGCAGCTGAGAGCTCGCCGGGCCCTGGGGGAGCAGGCCGCAAGGAGCCTGGGGAGTCAGTTCAACGGGGCACAGCCCCTCCCTGCACACCAGGCCCTCCCCTGCTTCAGCCTCCCCACAGCCCCTAGATGCTCTTCTCTGAATCACAGGCTGCTGCCAATTACAAAAGGGCTCTTAACTCTGTTTCGCAACCCCTTGATTGATAGCACTGGTGAGTGAAATTATAAGCCTTAATGATCACGTTAATTTCTGGGGAAAGGGAAGCGGTCAGAAGAGGTTCTCAATCACAAGCGCCACAATCAGCTGGGTGAGTTCAATGACAGGCCAGAGCAGGGAAAGAGGGGGAAGAATTAACTTTTTTAAAGGTCATCAGAGAGTAGTAGGAGAGTAACCAGGCATCAGAGATTCGGCGCACAGATGGTCCTGGAGCCTGGACGCGAACCCCCGTCCCGGGGCTCCTGACTGAGGGCGGGCATCGGTGCTTCTCCTCCTTAGCCCTGCTCCGAGGCGGATGCCCCAGAGATTCTGCTGTCACCGTGCTTGGGATATGGCTTGGAGGCTGGCAGCTGTGACAGCCCCCCCCATGATCCTCTGAGCAGCCAAGATGGAGAAGGACTCGTCTAAATGAAAGGATCTGGGGGCAAGTAGTTAGGATTGAGCGCATTTGGGAATCCACTTAACCTGATTGGCTCTTGCCACCAAGGGGAGTTGCTTCTGCTGGTCTCCTGGCCCCGCCTGAAGACAAGAGTGAGAATAAGGCCACCCGGCTCTCCTGAGAATCAAACCTAGGACTTCGGCCTCCTCAAAGCATTGACCCTACTCACAGTTGCCCATCAGAGCATTGCAACCCCGGGGTAGGTCAGGAAGCTGCGCAGTTGATGTGGTGACATCCTGGTTACCATATTAGGGAGACTGCCCTCTGCGCGTGGCCGGGGAGGCCAGCTCAGCAACGCAAGAGCTCTGATGGCCCTCCCGGACCGGCTCTGTGCTGCTCAGCTGTATTCGGAGCAAACAGCCACTTCGTGTTCCAAAACAGGCTTCACAAACCTAAAAAGATGACTTAAAAATACAGACTAAATAAAATAAATCATGCATCATTTGTGGTAAAGGCATTGGAGTTAATCAAAGAGAGTTATTGTTCTTCAATTTTTCCTAAGTGATTATAAAAAATGTTATTGTAGAATGAGTGGCTTGAGATTCTTAGAGCAGCGTCCTAGCCGCAGAAAGTGGCTGCCAAGCTGCTTCTACATTATCAGTTATCCAAAAAAAAAAAAAAAAAAAATTATCATTTATCTACTTTCTCTCAACCTTCCTCGTGACATGGACGCACTCAAACGTTCACAGGAGAGGCCTGGACAGAAAAATCGGGGGCAGGGGGCTCTAGGGTGGGCAGGCTGAGACCTACCCGGCCAGCCCGGGGAGGAGCACAGCAGAGGCGTGTCCCTGACAGAAGCAGGCGTCCTCTGTATTTTTTTAACAGCATCTGAAGTGTTCATCAAGCCGTGTCTGATTAAGCACTTTTAAATTCTGAGCAATGAAATGGGCCCTCTCATCCCCTCTTGGCGGGAGTGCAAACTGATCCAACCCTTTGGAGAGCCATTTGGTTGTACGTATCAAAATTAAAAATGCATATAACCTTTGACCCAGAAATGCCACTTCTAAGAATTTTTTCCTACAGAAAGACCCCAAGTCCTGGGGAGTGTACATGGAAGGATGGTTCTTTGCTGTTTGTTACAGTGAACAACAGCAAGTAACTTAAAGTCTATCAGTGAGGAATTAGTTGGATCAACTACAGTTAATCCATAAAATGGAATACTAGGCAGATGTTAAGAAGAATGGAGCCACATGTACCCGCAGAAGAGACAGCCATACACACAAAAGTAATTTGCAGAAACGTAGAAGGTTTCCATTTTTCTAAGGATCATGGACAGCAACCACAGTGCACATCTCTGGTCAAGGGGTTCAATTCCTGGGCTCCTAAATTGGACTAAAACCCCTAAACTACAAGTGAAATAATTTGGGATCCTTAATTCAGCTCCTGAACTCACCTCCTGTTCTTTCTTTTCCCTGACATCAAAAGACGACTAAAAGTGATTCAAACGCAAAGGTAAGCCTCCTCACCTAATTGTCACAGTATGTAAATAATACTTTTGAAAAGCAATGCTCCCAGATTTAGAAAAACCATTTGTCAAAAGAGCACCAAAGACTGGTTTTTGGCTGCAGTAATCACTTGGCTAGGCCCACCTTCTCTTGTTTGTTTATTCAAATTGCATATATGGGAATGGTATAACTTGAATTCATATATCCAAAGACTACTATGGCACAACCCCAGCCCCCCAACGCCAGCCATAGAGGGTATCTGCCTTAAAATCCATGCAAGCACAAAGGTTAGAGCACCCAAGCTGCAGCCAGCAGAGATCCCCAAATCCCAGAAGAGAGTGCTGTGGAGTTTTTAATCCTGGGCTTTTTCAAATGTTGAAAGCCAGCCTTGATTCATGCTTATCATGGCAGAGATGCCCCCGAACAGGCAGTTTCAGTGGGAATCTCTTCTAGGACAGGTCACAGGAAATTTACTCCTTCTTAACTTTACTGAGACTATTTTCAATGGATTAAAATAGATTCTATGGGGGCGTCTGGGTGGCTCAGTCCTTAAGCGTCTGCCTTCGGCTCAGGTCATGATCGCAGGGTCCTGGGATCGGGCCCCGTATCGGGCTCCCTGCCCTGCCGGAGGCCTGCTTCTCCCTCTCCCACTCCTCCTGCTTGTGTTCCCTCTCTCGCTGTCTCTCTCTCTGCCAAATAAATAAATAAAATCTTTAAAAATAAATAAATAGATTCTATGATTGTGATAGATTTTATTATAGGTTGGCAATACCCTTCTGTCCCTCTCCTCCATGAGAGGAGTACACTTCCCTGCCCCGGGGGAGGTTGGGTTTGGCCAGGCGTGTCTGGCTTTGGCCAGTGGAAAGTGACCAAATGTGACATGAGCAGCAGCTTCAAAAGTGTTTGTGTGGTTTGGCTCAGACCCTTGCACTTCTGCGCTCTGCCACGCAAAGAAGGAGCTTTCGGGAAGCCGCTAGTCCAGAGTGAGGAAACACCGGAACACGCTTGAACCCAAAATCCAGCCTGGAGCCAGGCCCAGCTGAGCCTCCAGGGACCCGCAGTGCCCAGAGCAGGAAATTCAAGTTCGCTGGTGTAAGCTTTGCGGGTTATTTAGCATCCTTGAAGCAGAACTTGACCAAGACGGGGAGGAATAGCCTTAGACCCTTTGCTCAGCTTTACCAAATCTTGTCACTGATCTCATATTTGTTTCCGGTTCTTTTTTGTCTTATGAAATAAGCCATTTTAGCATCTTCTTGGTACCTTTCACTAATCCCATACATTCCCAGAGGTAACCACTATTATGCAGTTAGTGTTTATCCTACTCATGTTTGTTTTAAATATTTGTGATATATTTATACCTCTATAAACATAATCTGGTCTTGTTTTATAAGCTGTAAAGCTTTACATAAACACAAAGCTCTATGCATCCTCTGTGATTCACTTCCCACTCACTCGCACACTGTATTTCACAACATGGACCCTTGTTGAATACACTGGCTCGAGTCTACTCGCTCTGTTGGCTTTATGTATAATACTATATATACCACAGGGTACCTATTCTCCACTGGTGGACATTTTCACTGTCAAACATGAACAGTGTTGCAAGGAACGTTCTTGCACACATCTTTGAGTACCTTGCTTTTCTCTAAGCCTCACTTCTCCTCTGTGTGGACTCAGCAGAGGAGTGCCTGCCTGGTCGACCTTGCACACATGCAATCTCTAAGGTCAAATTAGCCAAGAGTTGCTAGGAGCTCTGCTCTGGACTCGTGCTGGAGCTGCTTCCCAGGGTGAACCCACGGCACCCCTGGCCTTGGACACCTCTGATTTCCACCACTGGCCTCTGGCAGTGGGGCTGGTGCCCTGAGATTCACTGGGAACCTCTGAAAGCACTTTCTACTGCTCCTTCCACATCTTACTCACCAATGCAAATCCTCACGCTTTATCTTTTTGATCATTAAATGATTTCAAGTTCCTGGTCAGGACTGAAATGGTGGTGAGAGAGTTAGAGGAGTGAGTGAATGAAGACTCTGTTAATTGGCGTCTTTCTTCTTCACACAGCAATTTTTCTAACAGATGCAATTACATTTGAGAACTGCAGAGAACGGAATCTTATGTTTTATTTCTTTATTCATCATTTTACAAATGGGATTCACTGTAAAAAGGAAATTGCCTTTGTGGTTCAGTTCTTCAGGCTGGAGTGCTCTGAGTTTCAGTTTCTACACCAGCTGACACGGCCACCTCGTAGCTGGCGGGGCAAGAGCCAGCCAGGGAGGGAGGCTAAGAAATCAGGTAGAGTTCCTTTAAATCCAATATATTTTTATTCTTTGTAAATACAATGAGTACAACCTTTTAACTTCACAAATCAGTTAATTCACTTTGTACAAGAAAAGTTTTACTCATCCTATGATAGTCCAAGTGCTGAATATTTTTCCTCAGTGCTAGTACCTAATAAATCAAAATGTGAAAAGTACAGCAGCTATTTTAAAATGGTTGTTTCTACATTTCCATAAGTATAGATTCATACCAAAGGAGCAGCTTATAGTGTAGGACGGAGTGTGTGTGTGTGTGTGCATGCGCGCATTCAAGGCTTTACTAGAGACCGGTTTTCTGAAAGGCATTGAAGAGTCTCAGGCTGTTAGCAATGGATCAATCAAGAAACCTTTTAGCCTTCATCTCCTTGTGGTTCCTTCTGACATCATGTCTCTGTTCATTTATTCTGGTGTGACTCGCTGAAACACGAGTTTGGATCCCCATCGCCTTTGGTTTCAGCACTTTGTTAACGGGACAGCGATCTGCCTCATCCTTCACCTCCACTTTATTTGGTTTTGCTGTTTTTATTCATCCTCCCTCAACTTGTGTTCTTTTAGTAAAGCTCTTCTATTTTTGAGATGTTATCCAACCTGAAGTCCTGGTGAGAATCTCATTTTCGTCCACCAGTTCCTTGGACAAGGTTGCCTGGCCTATAGTATTGAAGAGAAGGAGGAGGAGGAGGAGGAGGAGGGGAAGAAGAAGGAGAAGAACAAAAGAAAGAGAAAGGAGAGAAAACAGAGAAAAAGCAAGTCTCACGGCATAAGCTACCTTTCATTTACTAACTCAGTCCTGAAGGCCACTTCATGATGTATTACGATAGAAGAAAAACTTCTGATAAAACTTTTGCTTTAAAACCTAACCATTATTTTTTAAAATAAATTCTCCAACATAAAATAGTTCTGAAGGCTGTCGTATGATGTTATACACAGAGCTCTATTTGGTTACCCAACTTCATATGCTAAAAAGGAAAAGAAAGTTCTACTGATGGTTCAGCTTTTGAGAGTTCAGCCCGATATTCCAGGTAGGAGGCAGAATGGCACGGCCTGCGGCAACCCCTGAATCGGGGGCCCCCTTCCCAGGGCGTGGCAGCAGGGAGTTCTCTCTGTTCAGGTGGTCCTGTGATGCCCCCTTTCCTTCCCCACTGCCCCACCCTGGGGCAGCACATCAAAGCAACTGGAACTGTTTTGTGTCCATTGGCATGTTTTTCTGAAGGCTACACATTCCCAGGTTTATGCTTCCTGAAGGGTTTGTTAGTTGAGGCTTGTTCTCCGTGGGTCGAAGTTCATCAGATACTGTCCCATCCTGAAAAGCGGGGACTCGGAGCTTAGATATCACTGGATTTGTACATATCTGAAAGCAGTCTTGTAATTGGCACGTTGCCGATGGTTTTTTTGAAAAACACTTCTTCTATGGTTGATGGACTAATAGATCGTAAAGCTGGCAAAAGCAACAGGAGTTTTCCAAAGCGACAGGGTTGCGTGGGATATCTGGAAGAGGAGAAGCCACGAAAGCAAGGTAAGATCCATTACTCTTGTTGAGTCACAGCCCGTGCTTGAAGGCACACCCTCTTCCTGGCTGGGCCTCTCTCTTTACTACCCCACCCGCCCTGCAACAGAGGCCCCCACAGGTGCTTCTGGCCCTGCTCTGCAGGGTGAACAGTTGAGGCATGAAGAGCCTAAATGATGCTGCCAAAATCACGTGGTGACTGTCTCTACATTAGCAAAGGGCTTGCATTTTGTTTGGAGGAAAAGTAATTTTAATTTTTTTTGAAGATTTTATTTGTTTGAGAGAGAGAGAGGTGAGAGAAAGAGCACAAGCAGGGGGAGCTGCAGGTAGGGGGAGAAGCAGGCTCTCCGCTGAGCAGGGAGCCCAATGTGGGGGCTCGATCCCAGGACCCCAGGATCATGACCTGAGCCAAAGGCAGACGCTTAACCGACTGAGCCACCCAGGCGCCCCGGAAAAATAATTTTAAGAAACATGGTACTAAGTTCGGGTCAGATAATACACTGAAGGCTGCCAGGGTAGGAAATCACCACGCTGCTGAGGATAAAGGTAGTGCTAACATCCACGTTTTCTGATTCGCAAGGCTCCTTCCTCAGCTCGTTCCCTCAAATAAAATGGATTCCTTTTCTAAGCCGTTCTCCAAATTATTATTCAGGCATTATACTTAGTCACTCTCAGGAATAATTCCGTCCTTATTACACTGCAAATTAAAGACTAAGTTCTGTTGGGTGGTAGTGCCATCCAACTTTCATGTCAATGAAATTGGCATGTAATTAAAGATGTGAGAAATTGCTTAACAATTTCCTCTCTTGATGTGCAACATACGTCTGTGCTCAGATGGGCAAGTTCAATTTTCTGCTGCCCTTAGATGCCTGTAACCTCACTGTGGCCCGGATGCTCCCTCCATCAATTTTTTACAATCAGCTACCTATGTATTTCACAAGGAGGGCTCCTGCCTCTACAGCACACCACCCAGAAGACTGCGCTCCTGGAGCACCTGTCTGTAAGTCAGCCAGGTTTAACCCCTCCCTGGCCCCAGCGTGCTAGAAACTGACAGATATCAAAACTCCTTCAGAGGAGTTAGGTAGCTGAACGCTGAGTTTAACTGACCAGTAACTTCACCCTGCAAATAGAATCCAGGGGAACCATTGTCAGGGTTGTCTCTTGGCTTTGGGCACCTGGGAGTCCCTCTCTTCAACCTGATACTAGGCTGGTAGGTCTTTCTGGGCCTCTGAGGACCTTGTTTGGCTCTTTTGCTGCCACGCTTCATTATCACCCATGGACAAGGACCACCAGACTTGTAATCCCAAGACCCACGTCTCCCTTCTACTTTACTCTCTTCAACAGCTTTGTTTCCCTTCCCAGGGTCAGGCCGAGGAGCAAGCACCCTGCAGTGGGTGGGAGGCTGTGGCTGCCTAGAGAGGCCTCCACTGTGTCTACAGAACTCACCCAACATTCTGGAAGTTTCCCACAGTGAGGAAATACTGTGGGAAATAGTAACTTCCAGAAAGGATGGATTTTGGAGAAACCATAGACCATGAACTCTTGATTTTCTGCATGTAGATTATCCACTCACCTACTCACCCACTTCTTTTATTTCCTAGTTGGGAAGGGGCTGGTTAGTCAACAAGAATGAATTGTCTGTTCTTTGTGGAGTCCTGTACTACCTAGAAACAGTAACAGTGTGCGTGTGTGTGTGTGTGTGTGTGTGTGTGTGTGTGTGGCAGAGAGAGAGAGAGAGAGAAAGAGAGTCTAACTACTCAGTATTATTTTTTAGAATATCTATGTCCCGTGGGGCACCTGGGTGGCTCAGTCGTTAAGCGTCTGCCTTCAGCTCAGGTCATGATCCCAGGGTCCTGGGATCGAGTCCCATGTCGGGCTCCCTGCTCAGCAGGAAGCCTGCTTCTCCCTCTCCCACTCCCCCTGCTGTGTTCCCTCTCTCGCTGTGTCTCTCTCTGTCAAGTAAATAAATAAAATCTTTAAAAAAAAAAAAAGAATATCTATGTCCCTGATTTCATCCATTAGCATAAATAACTGGAAGTTTTCTTTTCAGGCATAAGTGTTCTGTGTCTGTCACAGATCCGTGTATTTGATCTTCAGTTATAATATACAGTTTGTGTGAGACGCCAATTCCTAGCTTTTTCCTTATGTCCCAGATAATTAGAGAAGTAGCCTACAGAGCTGAGTTTGCGATTTTAACAATTAATGCATAATTAGCTCAGTTTGCAATACTGACTTTTCATTTCAATTTTGGATCTTATTTATCTAGACAGGAAAGTGCTAGAGGAGAATGTTCTCTGATTGAAGGAGCTAAGAAATAAGGCATATGCCATTTTGTCCTATGTACAACTCTAGGTATTAATATTAATTATAGGGGCACGTGGGTGGCTCAGTCAGTTGAGTGTCCAACTCTTGGTTTCAGCTCAGGCCATGATCTCGGGGTCTTGGGATGGAGAATGGAGACTGCTTGGGATTCTCTCTCTCCCTCTCTCTCTGCCCCTCCCCCCTTCTCTAAAAAAATTAAATTATAACTATAGCTCATATCATGAAATAAAAATTCCTTGTCAAAGCAAATGTGTTCCTTCAATGAATAACTTCCTTGTTTTGAGGCTAGGGAGAAGTAGTATACTTGTTATTTTCCTAAAATAGACTCCTGTTAATTTGTGGTTGAGCTCTCTCAGGTCACCCTAGAAGAAGTTTCGGGTGGGCCCTGCCCTCTCAGACTCCCCTTCCTGGGCTCTGGCATCTCCAGTGCCTCTACCACAGTCCCTGTGCTGGCTCTCCTCGCAGCCCTTCTCCCCTGCTGAAGGCCTGCCATTCAAGGATTGGCTCACATGTTATCTCCTCCATCATGCAGCCTTTCCAGACTTGCCCTCACCAACTAGAATTCATCTCTCCCACTCCCCACTTTGCTTTTTCTCTCTTCGCTGGTCTGAACTGAATGAACACTTCTGTCTACTTCATGCAGTGAAAAGGGGGAAGTGTCTTGTTCTGTCTGGTGTCCCACAATTCTCACCAGGAGCCCTGCATGGAGCGAGTACTCAGCAAGGCTTGACTGAATCAATAAGTGGATATCATATTCTTCTCAGTGTGATGTTCTTTATACCTTAATGACTTTAAATGTCAGAGTCAGTCATGATATACAAGTTAGTTTTTAGTGGGCAAAAAGTGCCCAAATTATGTACTGCTCCACTTTTATAATTTTGAGCAAATATTAAGTGCTTACTATACATTCTGAAATTTAACATGGGTTTAAAATTTTAAAACCATAGCACTTTAATTTGAAGGCCATGTACGCAGGCACCATCACTCAACATAATTTCAGTGATAGTCCATGGACAGGGAGCGGTTTTATTCATTAGTTTTCAAAAGAGGATTTAAAACAGAAATAAGCAGATTCATAGCAGAAGCAGTCTCACCCCCAGTGAATACGACTGACTTGGGATTTCTCCCACCCCTTAGGTGAGGAAGGCATGAACTGCCTTTAGCCACTCACTTTAGTTACTCCCAGCACAGTGTCTGTGGGTGATGTTGAGATGATGGAGACAGGTTTCCATGGGCTTCCTTTCAAGGTCAATCTGAGAATAAACAATCCTAAGCAACTCTATTCTAACCTCAGATCTACTGCAATCCTAACTTGGGAAGCTAGCAGGGTTCCGCTACTCTTTAAGAGCCTTGCTTTTTTTCATCTGAAAATGAGATCACAAAGTCTATACCTTTTGGTGGACTTGTCCATTGGTGGGCCAGGAGGAGCACTCCTGGAGCCCCAGGGGCTGAGCGTTTCTACAACGAGCCAAGAACAGCCCCTTCCAGTGGGCTCTGCTTGGGCCAGAAGATGCCTGATGGATGCCATGACTCAAAATAACTCAATGGATACCAGTCACCAAAGCCAAACAGCAGTCACGATGGGGTTAAAGATGGCCTCTCAAGGATGATGCAAATGTGTCCACATGTTTTGATGGATCTGCTTGTTCAGCCAGGCCAGCCATAGGGGGTCTGGCAATGCTTTCACTTTGATAATCTAATCTGATCTGCTCCTCTCATCCACCCTGTGAGATAAGTGAGATTCTAACTGTATTAACTGGTGGGCAACAGGATAATTAGTCACAGGATTTGAACTGGCTTATTACTGCCTGCTCACACATTCACAATGGAAGCAATTTTTTTTAAGTACACAGTCAAGGCAAACAAGAGTCACCTGGTATGGATGTAGCTGTTGAGGGTTAGCTGGGCCTCATCTTGAAGGGCTGCGATGGCGGCAGCATTCCGGAAACTTCTCAGCTCAGAACCACTGTGTGTAGGAACTAGAAACGAAGATGGGGGAAACTATGATAAGCAGCACAGAAATGCAGATGGGAAGGCACCTCTCTGGAAATGGATGGCCAGCAGGAGAACAGGTAGCGCCCCCACCACGGAAAACTGGGCCAGCCCCAGAGTATCAGCTCCCTTAAAAAAATCCCCTCTTTTTGCAATTATCAGTCTGGACTCTGAGGTGGCTGAGTGAGTGAGGTGGCAAACCTGGCGAAGGAGAGGAGGTGGGGGTTTGCGTCAGCTTACCAGCTTTGAAAGTGACGATACATTTCAGACAGGCAAATTCGGTAGCATCTAACCGGAGTTGTCTAAATCGGGCCACCACCTCTTGTAAAGCTTGTATTTCAGATATGATCTTGTTCAGCTTCTGGGAATCTGTGTTGTCACCGTTCATGCCTAGAATAGAAATAGGGAATAAATGCTCTAATATGAGGGCATTTTCACGATTTAATATTGATTTTTGACAGAATTCTGCATATCAATATCTATTCAATTGTCACTCTAAGATATCTGATTCCCTGTAAACTGGCTATATTGTATGAAAGTTAATGTAAAATCTTCTCTTGGATGATGACAAACACAGTAATTTGCATTTAAATAACAATGCAAGCAGTCATGAATACAACAAAACAACATTATTTGCATTTAAATATAGATTTATAAGTGACAGGTATACTCTATTGTTCAGCAGGAATTTGTTATTCTTTACATGTTGTTCTTTTTTCAGTAATGTATTTTTATGGTAATTTCTACAACAAAGTCATTAAATTGTGCAATTCTTACCAGATACAGCCAGTAGAGTGTTAGCATCAACCGGAATGGCCCATTGTGCTATTCCTAGAACAAACAGTTCTCTCCAAGCATCTTCCAAAAGCATCAGCTGTCGTACAATAGATGTATAATATAATATAGTGTGTAATTTATAAATTTACAAACAATTTCAATATGTAAATTTCCATTATCTTAAAAAGTGCTTTAAATGCCTGTCTTGGTAATTTTTCCTCTGAATATTCCAGCTTTTCCTTTATTTTCCATATTTTCCTTTTTGAAAAGGTGCCTAGAGATAAGCACAGGCTTCTGAGAGTCAGCCATTCCAATTCCCCAAACTTTGCTTTCTTTGAAAAGGGTTTACCCTTCTTGGCCTTGCATCTATTCATTCCCGACCACCTAGAAACTTCTCCAGAGACCCAGGCTCTATGAAATGCCACCAGCAGCTCAGCAGGCAGATCCCCTTCATATAAAATGCTGGTATTATCAGGGTTGAGGATTACAGACTAAGCGTGCAGATCTGGGCCCCCATCTTCCTAGAGGGCTGGGGGGCTGGGCTGGGAGAGAGAGAGAGAGAGAGAAAGAGAGATCACTAATTCCCAAGAGGCATGCAGGGAAATCAGGGTGTAATTATGTTAATCGGGTTGTGCTGAGTTTACCTCATCTCACTCCCTGATTTTTCTGAGACTCATAAGTGGACAACATCAAGGTGCTTGTCATTTTCACTCTAATAAAATGTGCTACTGAATATTTAAAATGAAAATCTGGCTCCTTTTCCAAATTAATATACTGGATTCCACTTCATTGCAGTTTGCTTGTTGTTGAAGGGTTTCCACTGAAGGGCGAAGTGGCAGACAGTAAGTAAATTTTGTTTGTATTAAAGAGTATACAAATACCGGTTTTCAGAGAAAGTAGCCAGTACACACTCTCGCGTGCGTGCACGTGCACGCGCGCGCGCACACACACACACACACACACAGAGAGCAAATGGTTAGAGTCAACCAGCAAACCTGGTCAAAGATAGAACCTAACTATTTTGAAAAAAAGCTGTTTTTGAAAAATCTCTCAAAAGCCAGTCAATTCTGGATGATTTATGTGAAGGTATTTCCTTTTGGGAGCTAAGAGCTGAATTGTGAAGGCTTGTAACCAAAATCACAATCAGACCAAAAAGGTTTAATTTTGAAAAGGCTTCATTTTTAGTTTTATTGCATTAGGTACAGAAAATAATACTTTAAAATGCAAGGTAAACAATATCTAATTCTGATCATGTCTGAAAGTCCAGGCTATGGAAAAAAGAACATCCCATGCTAGAAGATTAAATGTTTTGAGCACATTGCTAGGTCTCTCTGTAGGAAACATACTTCAATATTAAAGGGCACCATTATGCTTTAATTAGGTATAAAATGAAGTAAGAAATAAGCCACTTGCTTTCAAAACTACTTATTAGCCTTTTTAGAAATTTGTCATTAATTTCCACGAATGTACTGGTAACGGCCAATGGTTATGAACACTTCATTTTCTTTCTTGCCCTTAAGATTAGAAAAATTCTGGCAGAGGCTATTTCTGAGATCCCTAACAACAAAATTTCTGGCCTTTGGTACGATGTAATTTTAAGCAGCATATACTTTTTCTCCCTCTGACTGTCATTTACAACCACAGAATTATGCACAATGCCCATTTGTTTACAAAATCTCTAAAAGTACTTCAAGAATTAAGGGAGATCCTAGCCTGTAGGAGGTGTGCAATGCACCCCATAACCGAACATGCTCATCAATTAGTGGTCAAGGTCGTGAGTATCACAATGGAAAATATAAAGCTGTGAACATGAAATAATGAGACTAGCTCTGAAAATCTTACAGGCGAATACTCTCATCACCTATTTCTCTCAGGTCCAATATTCTTAAGAAACATTGTTTTATTAACAATTTTAAATGTCATTAAGATTTTTTAAATTTGTGATTAAATTTGATGTTTCAATTAAACTTAAAAAAAAGAGAGAGAGAATGTTCTTGTATATTTGTTTTTCATAGACCAGATCCAACTTTCCTGAAATAACATAATTACCTTTCTTAGTAAGGATACCATAGCTAGGTATTTTGAACCCATCGTAGGAAGCTAATAAAAATTGTCTCCTCATTGCTGTTAAAAACGGATGCCTGGCCTTCAGGATTTATCCAGGTGACCTCCAGTTTCATAAGGCTGACCACTGTTGTTTTTTGTTTTTTTTCCCCCCAGGCCCCTTCCCCAAGAGCTCAGTGCCCTCTTGGTCATACCTGGTCCTGCAAAGATAGCGTGGAGAAAGCTGGTACACTCTTAGCCCACTTGATGCTCATAAACAGAAGCCTGGCGGCTGATTCACACACAGACTCTGTGGCCACTTCATACAGATACATTGGGGTCCCATTCACTTCATGGGGGTACTGAGCGGGGAAGAAAGAGAAACACCAGGGAGTGAGGAAACCACAGCTTTGCAGGAAGAGCCAAACTTTTAATTTCCTAATTAGAATAGGGAAGGAGATAGGCATTTGGATGTTCTGCTTAAACATGCAGTTGCCACTGGTAGACAAAAAACAAACATCTATATCTATAGACTTTGAGAAATAATAACCACTGGGAAAGGCCCATTTCCAGTCTTTGGGGGCCTGTTCCTTCCAGAGGGGCATCTGGCTTTTCTATCCCCTGCAGCAAATTTTCCTCCGACTGAGCCAAGTGCCAGGCCTGTCTCCCAATTTAGACAAGAGCTGCTTGCATTTGTGTAAATAAAAATAGATGTGAAAAAAGTATAAATTAATAGGCATCCCAAACACAAATATGCATATGAGTATTTTTAGAAAGGATTAGTATATTATGGAAATATTTCAATTAGACATCTTAATCATTCACAGAGCATTCCCCATTCATAACTGACAACATATTCATAACACTACTTTCCCAAGCTTATTATACACATCAGGGGTAAGAAAGCAATATTAAATATTGTGCTTGTGCGTGTGCCCAGGTGTTTGGCTTCCCTGCAGTTTGGGGCTGCAGCTGGCCCTCCCCTTCGCGGCCCGGAGTGGGTGCTTTGGGTAGGTACCAGCTGGAAGCCTGGAAGGTAGTCCCTAGGTGGCAGCCTTTTGAAGTGGTTCAGGCTGTGGCCCTGCTCAATAGAGACTCAATCCTGGTATAACTACATGCACCTCAGAAGGCAGTGAAGGGAGAGCGGAATACCAAACCAGCTTCCTCAAACTGTCCTAACAGGTGCGCTCCACCTGTTGTTGCTGCATTAGGGACCCACAGCCTTGCCCCAGAAAAACAGATCCCTGCGATCTGCCACAAAGGGACTCTTCTCTGCCGGCTGCAGCCAACTCCTTTCTCCTAAAAACAGAAGTGCTCTTCTGGTCTCCGGAAATACCGAGGTTGCCCCTCAGTTCAGCCGGGACTCCACACCAGGGCATTGTTTAAAGGTGCGAATTCCTGGGCCCCACCTCACCCTGGCTGAAAGGGACTCTGTGGGGGATGGGCCAGGGAGTCCACATTGTAGCCAGCTCAGAGAGTGACTCTACTGTCCACTAAAATTTGAACACTCCTGGCTTAACAGGGGAGAGTGGGGGGCCGACAACTCCCTGCAGAGCCCGACCCCGAGCACCAGGCGAGGTCGCTCTGTCTTTGGCTTGAGCCCATCCTAGCTCCGGAGAGATGGGAGCCCCCGCCCCCGCCCTCAGTTGGCCGCCAGACTCCCCAGAGTCCAGCGAGGGCACGGACCTTGGGCGTGGGCTGAGCCAGGCTCACGAGAGTCTGCCGCTCCGGGGTGGCGGACACGGCGGCCAGCTCCAAGCCATGGGGCTCGAGCTGCGTGACCGCGGTGAAGAACGCCGGCGCGGGCAGCGCGGCGGACGGGAAGTGCGCAGCCGCCCCGTTCTCTTCCTTATGTCCACGGAAGTAGAGGGCCACCTGCTTGCGAATGGTGGACGTCCGAGGCCCCCGCTCGTGCTGCACGGCTGCAGAGACAGACAGATGGACGAATGCCCAGGATCAGAGACTCGACAACACTTAGCCGCTGCCGAGCTGCCGGGCCAAACGCCCCGTCTGGGCAGGCAAGGTCACTCAGAGGTGAAGAGAGGGAGGGGCAGGGATGGGCGGGCGGAGGACGCTCTGCGACCTCACTCTAACACTGCAGGCATGAGAGAGCTGAGGCTGAGAAGGGGAGCCCGACCCCAAGTGTCACGATAATGGCCAAGCCTCCAGCAAGACTAGGTGTGTTCTCTCGTGCGTTCAGGGCTCTTCCCCACCCAAGAGAGGTCGCGGAGAAACCAGAGACCCTGGAGGGGGGCGGGAGGGGAGTAGTTGGGTATCCTTGTCCCCGACAAAGGGGAAAGGGAGCACTGTGCCCAGCCAGGCACTGCGTCCCTACGGAGACTTCTCCCGCTCAGCCCAACCACGGCTCCCCCCACCTCCACCCCCGCGGAAAGGGTGTTTGGCCTCCGAGGGCCTCCGGAGAAAAGGACCCTAGCCGTTGACACACTGGGGGATGGAACGAGGGAGAGCCCGTCTTGGAGTGTGCTGGAGGAAGGCAGGGGAGATGTGACAATTACCGCCAACAGTTTAAACAAACAAATTAATTCAGGGCAATCTTCTGCTCGCAGAGCTTGACAACTTGTCAATACACAAGTTCAACAGGTTGGACGTTCCCTCCTGCTTCCTGCGCGGCTAAGGAAGGAGCTCTCCCCAATGGGCGCTGTGCCTCCTGGAGCTGCCTCCCTGCCCGGACCGTGGCCAAGGCAAACCCTCTCAGCATCCTGTCCTGAGGCCCCATTCCTCCCTCCCGGCCATGACCCCGGCTCCCGGCCCCCGGCCAGGCCTGGGGCGCCCTCACCAGGCCACCACTGGGCACGCACTCAGCCTGCGCTCTCCGCTGGAGAAGCATCTGATGCCCTAGTTCTTGCTGCGCGAGTTTAACAGCCTTCTGAAAGTCGTGTGTCCGAGGCACCCACAGGCGTCACCCTGCCTCTCCATCCCCTTTTTGTAGAACCGAGAGAAAAAGCCCAGATCGCCACAGTGGCTGTTCTGGTTTGGGAATCTTGATGAATTAACAAACACGGGCTCGAAATTCCGCGTGTTTGTGTCTCTGCCCTTCCTCCTCCAACACAGTCTCCCAGTCCCCACAGTCTCCAATCTCAGAGACTATCCAGACTGCGAGATCCTGCGGAAGGCTAACAGGCTTAGAGGTGGCCACAAAAGAGCTGCAAGGAGAGGTGAGAAGAGGTATTAGGACATGAAGCAGGAAATACCGCGCACGTGTGTGCCCAGCAGAGTGGGGTCCCGAGAGCGCTGTCTTCATGGGGGTGGTTGGGGGGCACAAGTTTCCTATGTGGGTGTGGGCCATACCTCCAGAGTTCAGTGGGGTGGGGGTGGGGGCTCATGCAGAGAGACGGAAGGATAAGACTGAAAGTCCGAGGCCAATTCCCAGCATCTGGAAAGAAGTGCTCCAGAGATGATTTACATGCATTGGAGTGCCATGTATTTTCTGTACATATAATTTACTTACTAGTCAACCAACATTAGAGAAATAAAAAGCTGTACTGATTACCATCTTTGTTCATGTTGACTTCCAAACACTTCTTCAGCCGACACGCCCTGCACTGGTTTCTGTGCGTCTTGTCCACCGGGCAGCCTCCCTGGAACAGAGCGCAGGCGGTCAGCGGGCCCCAGGGCCTTTAGACTGGAGACGCGAAGCTGGCGCCGGGTCGGGGGAAACGTGGAGGCGGGCATGGACCCCGCCACCGATTTCGGAGCTGCAAGCCTGGGTCTGTGAAACTTGGAGGCCTTGGGCACGAGCAGGGCTAGGTTGGGAGAGGGCCAGGATTCCCCGGGGCTCCTTCAAAAGGAACAGCCCCTGACCCTGTGAAAGTGGATAAGGAGGAAAAGTCCTTCGCCATGCAGGTGAAGGGTCAACGCGCCTGGTTTGCCTGACTGCCGTGTTGGGAGGAGAAGCTCTGGAGGGGAGCTTCCGCCAGGCTCGGAGGTCGTGGAACAGGGGCGAGACTTTTCAGGACCGAAGACAGCGACCTGGCCCCAGAGGAGGAGGCTTCGGAGCTCAGTTGGGAGCGGGCTTGTCAGCCAGGATCCCCACCACGCCCCCCTCCTGCCAACTATTCTTTCCGCCTTCAGGTCTCGAGTCTACTTCTTTCTGTCACTTGGGGGGCGGGCATTTATTTGTCGGATACATATTTCCCGTTTATTCTTCACTCTCTTGTTTCCTTACTCCTGGGGCTGTACTTGAAGCTACCCTTATAACTAGCATGTAAAGATGTCTTAAAGACTGGCCGTAGCCCCGATTCATGGAAACACAGCCATTCCTGGAAGGTGAGGCAGAAGCCAGAGTGGTTAGCAGGGCAAGGTCTACAGAGGTGAGGATAGGAAGGGAAGAGCCCAAGGCCTGGGCAAAATCTAGAAATGCCCATTATGTAAATATGACCAGGAAGATAACGTGATGGACTGTCTGACAAAATGATAATATGGACTGAGAATATTGGCATGATAACTAGAAAAGAAGAGCTAATTACTGCCTTAGAAATATTTGAGATGCACGAGAAAAAATGTTCTACCTAATGCAATTTTCTGGAAAAATATTGGCTATTAGAAGAAGAAATTTACAGAGAAAATTTCTTATGGAATTCATTCAGTGTTAGGTGTTTTTCCTGAAGGAACATATACATAGATACATAAAGAGTCATACCTACATATGCATTTTATACACCAAAAATATATAAGAAGTTTCGTGCTCTCCTGTATTTATATGACTTGCAACTGTTACAAGTACTGTAGGGATAAAGAGAATAAAATAAATGTATTTTTATTTTCCTTCATAATCTAAAAAATTTATATACTGTGAATTTGGGGTAGGCACATTTTCTGAAACAGCCTTTAGGAAAAGATTACACACTTGAATACATTTTTTTAATGAGATCCCACCCTTCTGATTTAAAATATGTTGAGGTATTTAAAATAAGGGCAGGGCAGAGGTTTGTAACAATTTCTATATGTCCTCATTACTGTTAATAATAAATTGGAATATTGTTTATCTAGAAATAATTTTTGCTTTCTAAGTGAATTCTTCAGGGCATCTTTGCTGGCCAGTGTAATAGCTCAATGTAAAGAGGGTTAAAGAACTTGTTATTAAATGCAATCATATGTCTATCTTCATATGTTATCTTCCTCGTATTCTGATAAACAAGCTAATGCAAAATGGAAGCCTTCACTTGTTCTTAAGAGTGTCTTCAAATCAGATCACATGTATATAAATATCTGAAGCTTGAGAGAAAGATGAGTGCTTGAGCTCAGCCCATTTATTCTCTCTGCAAGGAGAGGACACCAAGCCTGATGAGTCTATTATCAGTCCTTTACAAGGACTTGGACTGACATCAATATGTTTGAATTGATAGCCAACCCCTTTGAAAATATCAAGCATCACATCTGAGATTTTGATTCCCTAATTCTGTGCATTGCATAAAATTAAAAGGTAATTTAAGTAGAAGCCTGCTCGAATCTGATGACCCACAGTAATACTCCATCCTGCGGGGCTACAGGGATACAGTCCTGCATGTGTATGATGTGATGTGTCCATATGGTGATCTAGAAACTGATACAGAGCTGTGTACCCAATTAAACGGTTACCAGGGCTGGAGTTCAAAATAACTTATCCAAATATAAGTATCTTCTTATTTTTGTTGATAATCCAATCTATTGGAAATTGATATGAGCAGACATAGCTTTAGAAAAAGAATAATTCGCTAGCTCCAGACAATATGTGTGTGTGTGTATCACATATAAATATTAATTAATGAAGATGTTTTACCATTTTGGTTACCAAGGGATGACTTCTGACTAACACACTCTCCAGGGTCTTCTTGGGAGTCAAGGTGGTAGCTCTGTGCTGAGAGTCTGTGTGCCTGGCCTAGGAAAAGGCAGTGTGGAACCAAAAGACTGATCTCCCTAAAATGATCCTATTACTGAGCTGGAAACTGAGTCAGGGGGTCCTACTTTTTCTTTCTGGAAGCTTTGGCTCACTCTCAGCCCATGTTCTAACTCCCTTGTCTTTTTGAGACCGTTCTGCCTGCTCAAGACCAAAACACAACCAACCAGGCACATCTTCTAAACAGAGAAAGAGAAGATATGGGAGCCTTGGAGAGGATCCCAGTCGCCCCTTCCTTGAGAGCTTTCTCTTCTTGCCCACTCTGCCCTTTCCTGACAAGGCCTAGCTAAAGTCTCATGGGTGCCAAAGCCCCACTGCTCACTTCCAGTGCAGTCCTGCTTCTCCGAAGTTGAAAGGACAAAGCCCTTCACACAGCAAGTCCTGTGTTCCAGATGGCCACACTCACCTCGGGTGGCAGCCTTGCCTGGGATGCCCTGTGCCTTTTACTTCTGCCACGGCAGGCAGGGGTCAGCGCACTGAGCTGGGGCTGCTGCTAGGAATGGGGGAGCGGGGGTGGGGTGCGGGCAACGCAACACAGCCTTCCCTCCAGCTTGCAACGTGTGGTTTAGACTCTAAAGTTCCTTAGGCCCCCTGGGCTGGCTCTAAAGCGGCTGGGTGAGGGCCATACCCAGTGTCAAAGTCTGTGAGAGAATTACAAAAAGCGGGGTGGGGGGTGTGTGTGCAGGGAGGAGCCCGGATTTCAGATTCCCCCCGGCACACTCCTGTATCTTCCCTTACCTCTTCCCGCCTTTCCCACGCGGAAGGGCCTCTGAGAGCTGAGGCGGGAAGGAGGGGAGAGGAAGGGAGAGGTCAGGGCTCGGTCTCTCCTCAGCAGCTTGGAAACTCGGAGGAGGCCTGGGCACAAACAAAGGAGGGGGAGGCGGCGGAGGGGAGCCGGGCAGCGCAGCCCTGGCCGAGGTACCTGGTTTCCAGATTTGCAGACATACGTCCTGTTCCTTCGGATACTCCGTTTGAAAAACCCCGAGCAGCCGTCGCAGGCGTAGACCCCGTAGTGTTTCCCCGAGCTGCGGTCGCCGCACACTTTACAGGGGATGTCTAAAATACGGCCTGCAATGGCAGGAAAGACAGGCAAGGGGGGAAGGGAAGAGAGGGAGAGGAGGGCGGAGAAGAGGGAGGCAAGGGGGAGCGGGAGAGAGAGATGCTAAGCAATCTGACCTCTGAAGGGATTAGCACCGAAGCTGCGGTAAAAGCAAATAATGAAGTGATTTTATAGCCAAACTTTTTTTCCTTGAGCAAGTGTCAGTTTCCTACAATGAGCATTATTCATGCACCGCTACATGTATTTGGGTCTCTTCTAATCGCCGAGACCCATTTTGGAATAAAAGATTACAGCAGGCCGGGGCCGCAGCACGGCCCGCCGCTGCCTTTCTGCTCCGCGGAAAGTTTGGCCGCCTCCCTCCCCCGCTCTCGCATTTAACAGAGAAAGTTGTTAGCGCGCGAGGAGACAAACTTGAAATGTAAAAGGGGAAAGAAGAAAAACAAACACGGCTGGAACCGGGGATGGCAGCTGGAAGGCAATCGAGTTTTCTCTGAGCTGCCGGGCGGTTGTTATTATTAGGATTATTATTGTAATGCTAATACCAGGATTATTAATGATAATAAGGGTAGTGGTAATTGCCCAACTTTCGCTTTACCTATTTTAAAAAATGCTTAGTGGATCGCTTTTGAGAAATTATTTCTTTTAGGAAAAAAAACCATTTTCCCCCCAAAGTAACTAGCACCGGGCTGGGCAAAGGAGAGAGCGGCGCGTGCGCGGTTCCTTCGCAGGTTAGCGCGGGACAAGCCACCCGGCCCTTCTCCCTCCAGTGCCCAAGTTCTTCCTCAGAGACCTACCTCCTCACACTAGATCGCGGGTCGGGTGGGTCCCTTCCTGCCTGTTTTTCCTCCGCTGTGGGAGGCTGATATTTTAAAGGAGCTAGCTGGTTTCTCTAGACTGCCCTCCACCCCTATTGGCCTCGACAGTCGCCTGGCCTTAGAGAACTTTTCTTGGAATCCCCTCAAGCCTGGGTGGCTTCGGACCTCGGAGGAACGTTAGGGAGAGGGTGGTATTCCAAAATTCAGGAGGGAGGGAACTCTTTTCTCTACGGTTCAAGAGTCCAACCAGCCTGAAGCGATAGGGACTTAGAAATCTTTCCTCTCGCAAACAATTAAAAGTGGCCACACTTTGATAATAGTAATGATGGTAGTAATCATTAACTTCTTTACATTAAATTTTCCCGTTGCGACTCCACCCAAGGCCTCCAGTCTGGGCCCGGGAGCCCTCCGCCCCGGTGAAACTGGACTGTTGCTGCCTGGAGCACTCAGGTTGGGGAGCGCTATCAGGCTGGGGTGCAGGGAGGCGAGTCAGAACCACCCGGCCAGGGGAAGAGAGGAGGCCAGGGCGCCACGTGGGGAGGGCCCCGAGGTCTCAGAAGTGGAAACTTGCTCGTGGATTCCGAGGCGTCCTGGCGGGCGCGAATCCTTGAGCAAGGCCCTGGAGGAGCTGCTGGGGGCCGGGAGGGAGGGGGGCGTGGAGAGCCCAGCGGCCTGGGTGGGGGTGGGGGTTCGGTAACGACCAAGCTCGGCCGGGGTAATTACAACCCCGCCATAGCACCTGCCTATAGAGCCACCAGTGACCCGTCAAAAAGAGTAGCATGGGAATTCAGACGGCGACAAAGGCCGGTGGCGGAGGCGCGCGGCGCGCCGACCACCGCCTCGGCGCCCCCTTTCCTGCAGGGTGGGAGGAAAGGTTATGCTGGGGGGTGGGGGGAAGAAGTGGCTGGAGAGAGCCAGGCGAAGCCACAGCGGGGCTTGTCCTTCACCCCTCTGGGCCTGTCGCTGCACCCATGGGGACTCACAGGCGCCCAGCAGCCGGGGACTTGAGCGGGGCTGCATCGCACTCACGCTGCAAACAGTAAACTTGGTTTCCTTATTTTGCAACCATCCTTCCCTGCATGACACGCGCCCTCTGGCTGAGCTGGGGTCCATGTTTGGGATTCAACAATCCTGTCGCCCCAGCTGTCCTCTTCCCGGTGGCACTTTTGATGATGCCAAGATGAGGGCGCAGAAGCAGCAGTTGTGGTGTTTCTCCCCGACCCCGCCCTTCCCAACCAGACAGGAGGACAGGGACACACCACATCTCTGGAGAACCCCATGGGGCGCGGGGAGGACCGGCGCGGGGTGGGTGACCCCTCTCCAGCTGGGGGCGGGGGCCCGGGCTCCTCGACAGTCGCCCGCGGGGCCGCCACAGCTGCGGGTGGGTCCTGCCTCGGCGCCCACATCCGGGCCTCGGCTCCCGGGGCAGATTAGAGGCCGGCCGACTCGCCTGGGGCGGGGCACAGGAGGGAGGGACGCGAAAATTCCGGGGCAGAGCGGGTCTGCGCCTCAGACTCCGCCACCCAGCCACGTTAAGGTGACTTGGGGTCACGAGACAAGCTGGTTGACCCCGTTGCAAAGCTCCTCTCATTTAGCAAACCGAGCGAGCTCCGACGTGAGGCAAGCGGGAGTTTCCTGAGGCTGGAAAACCGTTCTTAACTTCCCTCGCCAGGGGGTCCCCTCGGGGCTTTTTGTGTGTCATAATTGCCTAAAGATATATGGCAGCTTCGATTACTGTAATTACCATCAGAGGCTGTTGAAAGAAGTTAGTCTGGGCTGCAGGGGTGACTGGCCGGGGTCTTGTTACCACCCAGGCGGGGCTCCCGGGTGACATCGCTCTGCCCTCCAGCTGTGCGAAACCGAGCGAGGCGGGGGCTGCAGACCTCGCCGCCCGGCTCGGTCCTGACCTCGCCCGCTGCGCGCCGACCTCCTCGCCGCCCCGGGCCCGAGGGCCGCAGTTTTCGGCCCGGCTGCCGCCACCTGTCTGGAGAAGGCCGGGATGCAGCGGCGCCGCGGGCGGGGGCTGCCTTCCTGCGGGCCTGAGGAACTTCCCCGGCGGCGGCCGAGCCTGCCGCGGGTCTCAGGCTTCCGCGGCCAAACTCAGGCTCTTGGGAAGTTGGAGAGCTCCCAAGTCTCCCCAGCATGTCACTCAGCCTTTTTTTTTCCTGAGTCCGGACGGTTCGCCTGAGTCCCAGTCCACCAGACGCGGGTGCGGCCCCCAGCGAAGCGAGCCGCGCGCCTGTCCCTTCCCTCTATTCCG